GGCATAGTGGTTTAAGCTGCTGCTTTGTAATGCTGGTATCCCACACTGGAGTGCCATTTTGAGTCCTGGCTATTCTGCTTCTGATCCAGCTTCCTGCTATTGTGCCTGGGAAGGAAGGCAGCACAAGATAGCCCAAGTACTTGGGCCCCTGCTACTCATATGGGAGATCCAATGGAGTCCCTGGCTCCTGGCTTTGGCCCAAACTAAACCTGGCTGTTGTGGCCACTTGAGGAATGAACCAACAAATGGAAGATTTCTCTCTCTCCCCCACTGTCTTTTTGTGTGTGTGTGTGTGTGTGTGTATGTGTGTTGCTCTGCTTTTCAAATAAAGAACTAAATGAATCTTTAAAAAGATTTGACATGGGAGACACTATAGTATTTTATGATATCCTGAGTAGTTCAATATGAACATCAGCTTTTCATGTTTCCATAGGAATTTTAGGGTCATTTTTTCTAGATCTGAGAAGAATGTCCTTGGTATTTTGATTCGGATCACACTGAATATGTAAATTGCTTTCCAAAGTATGGACATTTTGATAATATTAATTCTTCCAATCCAAGAACATGGAAGTTTTTTTCTATTTTTAGTGTCTTCTTATACTTCTTTCTTTAATGTTTTATAATTTTCATCATAGTAATCATTGACTTCTTTGGTTAAATTTATTCCGAGGTATTTAATTTTTTTGTAGCTATTGTGAATGGGATTGATCTTAGAAGTTCTTTCTCAGCCATGGAATTGTCTGTGTATACAGAGGCTATTGATTTTTGTGTATAAATTTTATGTCCTGCCTCTTTACCAAACTCTTTTATGAGTTCAAATAATCTCTTAGTGGAGTCTTTAGGATCTCCTATATATGGAATTATGTCATCTGTGAATAGGGATAGTTTGACTTCTTCCTTTCCAATTTTATGCCTTTGATTTATTTTCTTGCCTAATGGCTCTGGCTAAACTTCTAGGATTATATTAAATAGTAAGAGAGAGTGGGCATCCTTGTCTGTTTCCGGATCTTAGAAGGGGATGCTTCCAACTTTCCCGCATTGAGAAAGATGCTGGCTCTGGGTTTGTCATAAATTGCCTTGATTGTGTTGAGGAATGCTCCTGGTATACTCAATTTGCTTAAGGTTTTCATCATGAAAGGATGTTGTATTTTATCAAATGTTTTCTCTATATCTGTTGAAATAATCATATGATTTTTATTCTTCAGTTTGTTAATGTAATGTATCACATTTATTGATGTGAATGTTGAACCATCCCTGCATACCAGGGATAAAACCCACTGGGTCCAAATGAATGATCTTTCTGTGTGTTGTTGGATTCGATTGCCTATTATTTTGTTGAGGATTTTTGTGTCTATGTTCATCAGGGGTATTGGTCTATAGTTCTCTTTCTCTATTTTATCTTTTTCTGGTTTAGGAAGTAAGATGATGCTGGCTTTATAGAAGGAATTTGAGAGAATTCCTTCTCTTTAATTCTTTTTCAAATTCTAAAGCTAAAGGACTAATTAACAAAGTGCCAAACAAGAAATCATAGACTTTTCACTTGGAGGAACCTATAGGATGTGTGCATTCCTGTTTATAGATGGCAGCCTGGAAGCCAGGTAGCAAGATGAAACAAAATTATACCAATAAAATATTATTTCCATTTTTTAGGTTCAGAAGGAGTTGAAGAAATAAAAAGACACCTTTTTTTTGCAAATATTGACTGGAATGTAAGTTGAGTAGAAAATTTGTTATTGAATATATTAAAATGAGCAGAAACCTGAAGAGTAAATGGTAATATATGGATTTTTCTGCTAAATTTAATCCATTTGTTTTATATTAAGTGCGAAATTTTTATTTATAAGTGCAGCATATCATGTCAGTTACCTTGTACCACAAAATATGTAGAAAACTAATAATTATTATTCTCGTTTTTTACCTGTTAAGTATGGTTAATATTATGACCCATTCTAGGTTGAGCAGTGAAGAGCAAGAAGAGAATGAGGAAAGCATATGAGTGATAAGCATATTCTTATAGGAAATTAATTGTAAAGAGTCTAAGATGTTATTTAATTTCAATGTTGTTATGTGTTAGAATAAACTAAATTTATTAAGAAGTGGGTATCTTTCTGTGTAGTTCAGTAAATGTTGAGAGTACATGAAAACTGAAACATTGCAAAATTCTACCAAGTCTTGTATAGGATTTTCTTAGTTGCTATTCTCAGACTAATGGGCTTTTCTTAATAGAGCTTATCTTTTTGTTGTTTGTTTTATATTACAGCTTTATATATTTTGTGTGTTCATCATCATAGTTAAACATTTTCAGTTACCTAGTTCTGATTGGTATTGAAATTTTTTTCAACAGTATAAAATTCTATTTTGATTTTGAGGGCACAGCAGAGAACTGCTATTTACTGATCAAATTTTTTTACCTGGCTTGTGTACTTATCAAATTATTTTATCTGGCTTGTATAACGAGTTTTAGTAGACAGTATTTTATTTTTTATGATTATAAAACTGTAATATGGCTTAAACCATTACTCAATACCCTAAAAAGGTGGGCATGACACATAGGAGCCTCCCCGTTGTCAAATCTGTGTACAACTCTCTTTGTGTCCTTGTATCCTTTTTTCATTTTTTCCAAATGCTTTGCTTTTCTTCCTTTCCCCTTATCTAGATAAATGAGAAATAATTTTTCCATCATTGCTATATCTAAACCACTTATGGTCATTGTTTTATTTAAAATAACAAATTATATACTTATTTAACTTATTAATTTATTGCACTTATTTAAATAAATTAAAATTTTTAAATTAATTCCCTCTTAATTTTTCCCTGCTATGGGGAGATTTAAAAATGTAGGTTTCTACAAAAAGCATGTTTTTGTATATTTTCTGTGTCTTTCAAAAATGTAGATATTAGTGAGTTAGATTTTTAAACAAACTAAATTTTTGATGCCATGATAGGAGCCCAAAGCAATATATTTATGTTTTTATTCAAAAATATTTTAAAATGAAGTATGAGATACTTTAAAAAGTTCATGGTTTAGCATGGTTGTTAAGATGCCCACATCCTATATTGGGGTACCTGAGGTCTACTGTTCCCTACTTCTATTCCTTTCTCTGACTTCCTGATAATGCATACGTTGGGAGGGAGTAGTGATGCTCAAGCAATGTAACTCCTGCCACCCAAGTGGGAAGCCTGAATTATCTTCCCATCTTTAGGCTTTAACCCAGCCCTGGACATTGTGGGCATTTGGAGAGTAAAGCAGCATATAGGACCTTTCTCTCTCTCTGCCTTTCAAATAAATAAGAAAATAAGTAAATCAAGTATATCAAAATTTCTCCCTTTTTCTCTCTGCTTTCAAATAAAATTTAATTTAAAAATCTTGAAAATTGGAATTTAAAGACAGGTTTATTTTGGTGCAAAAATATTTTGAAATCCATTCACATTTTTTTTTGACAGGCAGAGTGGACAGTGAGAGAGAGAGAGACAGAGAGAAAGGTCTTCCTTTTTGCCGTTGGTTCACCCTCCAATAGCCACCGCGGCTGGCACGCTACGGCCAGCGCATCGCGCTGATCCAAAGCCAGGATCCAGGTGTTTCTCCTGGTCTCCCATGGGGTGCAGGGCCCAAGGACTTGGGCCATCCTCCACTGCCTTCCCGTGCCACAGCAGAGAGCTGGCCTGGAAGAGGGGCAACCGGGACAGAATCTGGCGCCCCGATCGGGACTAGAACCCAAGGTGCTGGCACTGCAGGCGGAGGATTAGCCTAGTGAGCCGCGGCGCCGGCCCCACAATTTTTTTTTATAATGCATTATTGTCTTTGAAAAATCTTCTTTGAAGATTCCTTTGTATACTCCTTAAGATCAGTCTATTGGTTTTTAAACTCTTGAACATCATTTTTGCATGGGAACATTGTGATATAATTTATATGGTTATAATACCAGTTAGAATTCAGATCAGTTTTTGGTAGCCAAAATTGAACATCATTATTTCTTATGAATGCAGTTTGTATCATTGCTGTGTTTCCTGGCCTCATTAGAATTTGGACATTGTCTCAGATTTTTAGAATTTGGATAACAGATATCTGAAGCATATTGAAATTTCTTTTATGAGATTGTGAGTCTTCTTAAAGATTGCATGTTATATTCTGCTTTCCCTTAAAAATTACTCATTGAATATTTTATCTGAAAAGCTTAGGACCCACAAGTGCTTTGGCTTTTGGATATTGGAATATTTGTATATATCAAATGAGATATGTTGGGAAGGCACCCAGGTCAAAACAAAATTAATTGGTTTCATATATACCTTGCATATATAGCCTGAAGTTAATTTTATACCATATTTATAGTGTACCTGTGTTTTGACTGCAGCCCATCACATGCCATCAGGTGTGGAATTTTCCACTTTTGATATCTTGTCAATGTTCAAAAAGTTTCATATTTTGGAGCACTTTGAATTTTGAATTTTTGGATTATGGATGCTCAGTATGTTTAATAGTTTTTCAGTCATTAATATCTTTTGGTGTTCCCTGTTGCTTCTAGAAATTATATAAAAGAGAAGTTCAACCTCCTTTCAAACCTGCTTCTGGAAAACCAGATGATACTTTTTGTTTTGATCCTGAATTTACTGCAAAAACACCTAAAGGTAATGTGTGTTTATGTTTAAAATCAGGGCTCTTATTCCAGTAGGTGGTTAAAACAAGTAACTTTTTTCCTAAGAGAAAACTAAAAGAATGGCAGGTTTGCAGAGGATTGGTTTGCTTTTTCTGGAATTGTGGATCCTATGTATAGTATTGCCTGAGCATCTGTCAAGTGGAGGCTTTAAATGTGAACTGTTTATCAGAGAAGCAGGAACTAGGATAAAGAGTAGTTAGATTATTTTTTTCCTGTTTTATATGTTCGTTGACATTCTAATGATTTTCAGGGCAGGGGACAAAATATGAAAGTTATTACTCTGACACTTATGGTTTCGAATTTAATGTGGTTTTACTTCTAGTGGCATCAGTTTTATACAGTCATTCAGCAGATGGTGAATGACTGCTATGTACTGAATAATAAGGATGCAGTAGTGGACAGAACAGAAAGAAATTACTTAGCATATGGATCATGGATACTAGTGGTGGGAGACAGTGTATAATAAATCAAATATATATTATATGGTGACATTTAATGATTTATTCTATATTTGAATTCTGACATTGTATATCATAGATTTTTGTGTAGTTCTAATTAAATATAATTATTTTGAAATTAGATTCTCCTGGTTTACCAGCCAGTGCAAATGCTCATCAACTCTTCAAAGGATTCAGCTTTGTTGCAACGTCTATTGCAGAAGAATATAAAATAACTCCTATCACAAGTGCAAATGTATTACCAATTGTTCAGGTAAATTCCACTTAAGCACGTTTGGGGATAATTATTTCTTCCAGTTATTTCTAATAAATTTTCAGTAGCTTTTTAAAAAGTGATTGTTACTTTATATGTTTTGGAAAAAAGGAGTAGTAACTTTAATTATATTTATGTGGTCTGTTTTGGCAAGAAAATATTTGGCCAGTTTATAAGCTATCAATTTATTATACTGACTTTGGAGATCCAGAAAGCCTACAGTTTAGGATTGGCTCATAATTGCCATAAACCATTTATAAATATTAACAAAAATTTAGAATGGTTTTTTTAAGATTCAAGAGAAATATATATTTAGGATAAAATAGAAAATGTGAAATGTCATTATCTTTAGTATTTTATTTTTATAAAAAATACCAGATAAATGGAAATGCTGCACAATTTGGTGAAGTGTATGAATTGAAAGAGGATATCGGTGTTGGCTCCTATTCCGTTTGCAAGCGATGTGTACATAAAACTACCAACATGGAATTTGCAGTGAAGGTATTGTCTCTAAGACTAATTTTAATTTGCTTTTTATGTATTTAATTTAAAGTGCAGGTAAATATATTTACAGTGGAGATGGGAAAGATATGATGGGGAAGAACTCTAAGACTTAATATTTTCATTTTAAGACTTAATATTTTCATTTCGAGTTTCTTTTCAAGGCTTTGTTTTAGAGGATCAGTGTATTAAATGAATTTTTTGCTTTTGAATGGTTTCTCTTTAATGTAATATGTTAAGATTGACCAATTGTGAGAATTATAATCACATTTGGATCACATTATCATGTAGTACAATTTTAGTGATATGGAACATAATGTTAAAGTACTCTTGTTTATTTTTTCTATTAAGTTTCAGTTATAAGAAATTGTTAAACATTAAAATAATGAGGTAAGCATTGTTTTTTGGGTTTTTAAGTATTTGTTTAATGTATAACCATATTTAAATCCTTTATAGATAAAGAAAATAATTTTTTGTTGTCTGAGACTTTTCTCTTCTTGGTCTTAGATCATTGACAAAAGTAAACGAGACCCATCAGAAGAAATTGAGATTCTGATGCGCTATGGACAGCATCCAAACATTATTACTTTAAAGGATGTAGGTATTTTTAAATCTGGGTGTCAGTTAACCTGCTGAAGTTATGACTTGGAACTTTATCTTATTTGTTGCATTTGATTCTGTGGTATTTTTAATTTCATGCCACAAAATCTCAACATCCTAAAATTTGCCAATGCAGCTTTTTCTTGCAATTCTGTGTGTATATATGTGTGAGTGTATGTGTATATGTGATAAATATATAATCTCATATATCCTGACCCTGCATGAAAAGGGTGTAAATATTTCTCTTATTTAATCTCCTTCCTATACATATTAATTAACAAACATTTCAGATACTATATCAGATAATGGACTTAGAGGAGGTATTAAATAACAAATAATATATTTATTTCAGAAAGAAGGTAACTGTTAGAGAAATAAAGTAGCTATAATACAGTAAAAATGATACTGATGTCATTTGAGAGGCACAGCATTCTATTCTTTTATTCATGTCTTTTGATAGACTATAACCTATATCTTTGAAATTTAATAAAAATGTATGTTGAGCATTATCTTCGAGGACATGTAGGAGATTAACTGATTCAACCTTCAGTATAGCCTTACTACATTAGTAGGAAAGGAGCAGTGTCTTCTTTTAAATATGAGATGTTGACTGGAAAGGCAAAGTATTTTGAACATTTTAGAATTGTAAATTTTTAAATAATTATGTTTTGAAAATATCTTTTTTAGGTCTTTGATGATGGTAGATACATATACCTTGTTACAGATTTGATGAAAGGAGGAGAACTCCTGGATCGTATTCTCAAACAAAAAAGTTTCTCAGAACAGGAAGCTAGTGATGTACTGTATGTAATAACTAAGACAGTTGACTATCTTCATTGTCAAGGAGTAAGTTGTAATTGTATTATTTCTTTTGCTTCTGGGACTTACATCTTAATAAAATTATATATAGGAGATGATGCCATCTGCAATGAATTGCTTTTTCTTTCATTTATGTATTTTCTTAGGGAATATCCTAATAAAGCTATTAATATAGTAAAAGCTATGGATTCAGGAAATTGGCTAATGCTTTATTAATTCCCTCTGCCTGGTGGCCCTGGCCTAGTGGCGTATTAGTTTTACTACACTTGATCTTAGATAAAAGCCAAGAAGCGATTGTGGCATATTAGTTTTAAAAGTGGTTTGAATTATTTTAATGTATCTAACCTTGAGTTGGAAGCTACTAAACCTAATCAAACTTGAGAATGAAGCATAAAAGTATTATCTAAGGACATATTGTGGGTATTATTCAAACTATATATAAAGACTGTAAATCTTTTTAAAACATTCTTCATTTAAAAAATTTAACACAGGTTTTATTCCTGTGTAGCAATAGCCTAGATCCTGTCAATCAGCCTTTCCCAGTCCCTCCTGCACTGCTTCCCTCCTCAGTCTCTGGTAACTACAATTGTATTTTTAGCTTCCATGAGATCACCCATAGTTTTGGTCAGATTCCTCATAGGAGTGAGATCATGTAATATTTGTATTTTTGAGCTTAACATATTTCACTTAACATAATAACCTCCAGTTCCATTGTGTTGTTGCAAATGACAAGATTTCATCCCTTTTTATGGCTGAGGAATATTTCATTACTTATATGTACTACATTTTTTTTATCCATTCATTGGTTGATAATGCACTTAGATCGTTTCTGCTTCCTGGCTATTGTGGATAGTGCTAATAATAATGGGAGTACAGATGTCTCTTTGACAGCTGGATTTCATTTCTCTTGGGTATATACACAGAAGTGAGATGGCTATATCATATGGTAGTTATGTTCATGGTTTCTTGAGAAACCTCTATATCATTGCATTTTTCACAATGAGTATACTATTTTACATTCCCACCAAGAGTATGCAAGGTTTCCTTTTTCTCCACATCCTTTTCAACACTTGTTGTTTTTTGTCTTTTTACAAAATATTTATTTGAAAGGTAGAGATTCAGAGAGAGAGAGAGGCATCTTCCATCTGCTGGTTGGCTCTCTTGATGGTTGCAACAGCTAGCTGTGGGCCAGGCTGAAGCCAGGAACCAGGAACTCTATCCAGGTCTCTCACACGTGTGCCAGCAGCCCAAGTGCTGGGGCCATCATACACTGCCTTCCCAGGTGCATTAGCAGGAAGCTGGGTCAGTAGTAGAGCAGCCAGAACTTGAGCTGGTTACTCATATGGGATGTTGGCATTACCAGCTCAGTGCGTGTCTTTTTTTTTTTTTTTTGTCTTTTCAATAATGGCCAGTCTTACTAGAGTGTGGTGGTATCACAGTGTAGTTTTAATTTGCGTTTCCCTGATGATTATTGATACTGAACATTTTTTCATGTACCTGTTAACCATTCATATGTCTTGCTTTTGTTTTGATAATTGTCTGTTTAGACCTATTGTCCATTTTCTAATGAGCTTGTTTGAGGACTATAAATCTTGACTCTTGGCAACCCCCCTCCCTCAATTATAGTAAGAAAATTTTTTTTGTTTTTTATTTAGTAAATATAAATTTCCAAAGTACAGTTTATGGATTACAATGGCTCCCCCCGCCCATAATTTCCCTCCCACTCACACCCCTCCCATCTCCCATTCCCTCTCCCATTCCATTCACATCAAGATTCATTTTCAATTATCTTTATGTACAGAAGATTGATTTAGTATATATTAAGTAAAGATTTCATCAGTTTGCACCCACACAGAAACACAAAGTGTAAAATACTGTTTCAGTACTAGTTATAGCAATTACTTCGCATTGGAAAACACACTAAGGACAGATCCCACATGAGAAGTAAGTACACAGGGACTCCTGTTGTTGACTTAACAATTTGACACTCTTGTTTATGGCATCAGTAATCTCCCCAGGCTCTAGTCATGAGTTGCCAAGGCTATGGAAGCTTTTGAGTTTGCCGACTTCAATCTTATTCCGACAGGGTCATAGTCAAAGTGGAAGTTCTCTCCTCCCTTCAGAGAAAGGTACCTCCTTCTTTGATGGCCCCATTCTTTCCACTGGGATCTCACTCACAGAGATCTTCCATTTAGATCTTCCAATTTTTTTTTTCCAGGGTGTCTTGGCTTTCCATGCCTAAAATACTCTCATGGGCTCTTCAGCCATATCCGAATGCCTTAAGGGCTGATTCTGAGGCCAGAGTGCTATTTAGGACATCTGCCATTCTATGAGTCTGCTGTGTATCCCGCTTCCCATGAGGGATTGTTCTCTCCTTTTTTGATTCTATCAGCTAGTATTAGCAGACACTAGACTTGTTTGTGTGATCCCTTTGACTCTTAGACCTATCAATGTGATGAATTGTGAACTGAAATTGATCACTTGGACTAGTGAGATGGCATTGGTACATGCCACCTTGATGGGATTGTATTGGGATCCCCTGGCATGATTCTAACTCCACCATTTGGGCAAGTCCGATTGAGCATGTCCCAAATTGTACATCTCCTCCCTCTCTTATTCCCACTCTTATATTTAACAGGGATCATTTTTCAGTTAACATTTAAACACCTAAGAATAATTGTGTGTTAATCACAGAGTTCAACCAATAGTACTAGAACAAAACAAAGAGAAAATACTAAAAGGGATAAAGTATTACATTGTACATCAACAGTCAGGACAAGAGTTTAATTCTAAAAATATAAATTATTGGCAGGTGCCACAGCTCACTTGGCTAATCCTCGGCCTGCGGCACCAGCACCCCGGGTTCTAGTCCTGGTCGGGGCACCGGATTCTGTCCTGGTTGCTCCTCTTCCAGTCCAGCTCTCTGCTGTGGCCCGGGAAGGCAGTGGAGGATGGCCCAAGTGCTTGGCCCCTGCACCTGCATGGGAGACCAGGAGGAAGCACCTGGCTCCTGGCTTCGGATCAGTGTGGCACGCCGGCCGTAGCGGCCACTTTGGGGGGTGAACCAACGGAAAAGGAAGACCTTTCTCTCTTTCTCTCTCTCTCTCTGTCTCACTGTCTAACTCTGCCTGTCCAAAAAAAATGTGAATTATTAATATAATATATTTTGTGGTAGAGGGGCAGGCTTGTTATTTCACTTACTTCAAAATGAAGGCAAATTAAATGAGTTTCAAAAGTCAGTTTTATGTATAGTTTTAGAAGGAAACAGAGTAGCAATTTTAAAAATTTAAGTTTGAATCAGTTGTAGTAGTGCAGACATACCCTCTTAACTACAAATATTTAAAAAAAACAACAATTCAGATTTGACACAATGAAAATTCTGTGGTCCCTTCTTAAAATTAATAGAAATTAACTTAATTTTTGTTGTGATATAATAGAATACATTCTCAGTTTTTTCAAATAAATTTTACAGTAACAAAATAATAGTTTTATGATGATTTAGTTCCTTAATTATCTTTGTCAGTTTTTTTAAAGTAAAGGATAACTAGATTTTTTGAGCAAAGAATAAGCATTCTTCCTTTTTTAAAATAATTATTTATTTTATTTCAAAGAGTTAGAGAGAGAGAGAGAATCTTCCATCCACTGATTCACTCCCCAATTGGCTGCAACAGCCGGAGCTATGCCGATTTGAAGCCAGGAGCCAGGAGCTTCTTCCAGGTCTCCCATGCGGGTGCAGGGCCCAAGGACTTGCACCACCTTCTATTGCTTTCTTAAGCCAGAGCAGAGAGCTATGGAAGTGGAGCAGCCAGGACTCAAATCAGCACCCATATAGGATGCTGGCATTGCAGGCAATGGCTTTACCGGCTACGCCACAGCGGTGGCCCCAGCATTTCTTCTTGATTTACTTTATAAAGCTTCAGGTTTTATCAGTTAAATAAATTGATAACAGAGGCATAATGACCGTTTCTACATGCCAGGCATTGTAAAAGGTGTTGGAGATTCATACATGAGTTAAAACGTGATCCTTGTCCTTAAAAAAACTTTCAGTGTAATAAACTGCTTATAATGGTAAAGCTAGATGAAATAAAGTGGACAGTAGTAACAGGAAAATCATCATAGAAGAAATTTCAGAATTCTGTTGGTTCTTCTTCATTCTTTCTGTTTTTCTGCTGAGAGTTCTGATTTTTCTGCTAAGAGGTTCATGTATTGAAAGCATGTTTTTTTTACTTCATTGATGATAGTTCCAATAGCCACTTTAAAATCCTTGTTAGTTCCAGTGTGATTCATCTCAGTCAGAATTAATTGGTTTTCTTTTTCCTTGAGACTTTCTTTTTTTAGGTTCTTTTTATAAAAATCAGATAATTTTGGATTATATCATAGTCTGGCATTAAGTTATGGTAATTTTTATTCTGGTACTTTTCTCCAGTGGTGATTATTATTTCCTTTGAAACTGAAAGCTGTTGTTCAGACAGCTGTCTGGTCTCTGTTAATGTTTTTGTCTATATCAACTGTTTTGACTCCTTCAACACACTTCTGATTCAGGGGTCAGTTTTTGCTCTTTATGTTTAGTATGCCCCCTCTTAGCATTCACAGTTTCCCAAAATCTCTTTTCTGGTAATCCAAGGCCAGGAAAATACAGATTGTTCCACATGTGTTTTCACTATCACTATGCACCATAGTGACTATACAACTGGAACTAAAAGCCACAGATGTGGGAACCTACTTGTATAGATCACTGTGTTCCTTCAGCTCAATGTCGTGTTCCTCACCAGTTTATCTGTTTCTGTTCATTCTCCTGTACCTTCAGGTTTTTAAATTATGTCCATGTTTTACAGTTGTTTACCTTGGGATGAATTGTTTAGTAGAGTCTTAGTGTACAAAAGTGGAACTGAGAGTTGGGTTTGGATATTTAAAACAGGAGCATCTATCTGATAGAAATATAATTTCTGGTGTATACTTCAGACTGTTAAGGTTGGAGAAAAAAACATTTTTAGGTTTTTGTAATTGAAGAAGTTTCTTTTGCTGGAAATAGTATTAAGATGTTTTACTCCACAGATATTTAGTTAACTGTAGAAATGTGATACTTTTTATTTTGTGTTCAAGGTTGTTCATCGTGATCTTAAACCTAGTAATATTTTATACATGGATGAATCAGCCAATGCAGATTCAATTAGGATCTGTGATTTTGGGTTTGCAAAACAGCTTCGAGGAGAAAATGGACTTCTCTTAACTCCATGCTACACTGCAAACTTTGTAGCACCTGAGGTATTTTTTTAACTTCAGTATTTGTCTTTAATTCTTCTTCTTCAGTTGGGTGTATATGATGTCGTGTATATACTATGGTAGACAGGTAAAAGCTGATTTATCTTGTCTTCTCGCAACTATAAATCAATGAATTCTGATAAACCCTAATATTAATTTTGAATTAGTAACTATCATCTAAAACTAACCTGAATGTAATAATCAGACTATTATGTTACATTAAGCCATATTATAATTTCAGCATCATACCAGTTTAGAACTAGAAGGTATGGTAAAGCTAACCACAAAGCTTGAACATATTATTGCATATTCTAAATGAGGAAACTGAAGTGCAAAGTACTTACGTGACTTATTCAAAAGCCAGTATTCACTTAGTAAAAAAGTAAGATACATTTTCAGATAAATTAGTTTGTACTGAATACGAGATAATTTATATCATTATGCATAGCATGCATATATGGCTGTGGCATCCTTCTTTTTAGGATATTTTGGCTCTTCGGAAAATAGCCTTACAGGTGTTTTTGTAAACAGAGAGGGTTTTTTTAATGGCAAATAACATTGTACATAGATCTTAGGGGGAAGAGTCAGGAAATGTGAGGCCAGAGAGGCTCTGGAGTGAAGATGACACATTTGGGAAATTCCAATAATCAGTTCTGGCTATGGGAAAGAAGGTTTGACAGTACCTACTTTCATAGCTATGAAAGTTAACTTGTTGAAAAATCAATCAGGGATGTCATTGACCATTGTAAATTCTTTATAAGTTTTGTTTTCAAGTTAGGAACTGTGCTTATATGAGAGTACTTCAAAAAGTGCATGGAAAATGCATATTATGAAAAAAATCTATGCATGGATTTAAAATTTTGTGCATCAAAATAAACTTAGCTTTTTTATTTGAGAAGTAGAAAGAGAGAGTAGAGAAACAATCTCCCATTTGCCATATATTATCCAAATGCCTGCAATGGCCAGCATTGGGCCAAGTCAATGCTGGGAACCAGGAACCCATTCAAGGTCTCTTGGCTGGTGGCAGGAAAAACTGCTTGAGCCATCACCACTGCCTCCAGTGAAGAGGCAGGGTAAAATAATTTGAAGGTTTTTATCACATATGCATATTTTAAATTTTATGTTTATATGAAATACTGGCCCTTTCATGGTAATATTAAACATTAGATGTAACACAAGCTGTTTGTATGTTATGATTAATAAAACTTTATTTATTTGAAAGGTCAAGGGGTTGGGACAGACAGAAGTCTGTCTGTTCCCTAAAAGACCACAATATTTGGGGCTGGGCCAAGCCAAAGTCAGGAACCAGGAACTCAATCCACATCTCCCATGTGGGTGGCAGGGGCCCAGCCCCTTGAACCATCATCCATTGCCTCCCAGTGCATGAATCAGTAGGAAGCTAGAATTGGGAGCAGAGCCAGGACTTTTACCCAGGCACTCTGACATGGGATGTGGGTATCTCAAGTGGTGGCCCAACTGCTGTGCCAAATGCCTGTTTCCTGAATCTATGTTTTAAAGTAAGTTGTAGAAAATTTTTCTAAAGAAAATAAACATAGAAAGTGACTTTCTAATAATAATAAATTCTTACTTTAAAATTTACTAAATTTTGCTCTAAGAGAGTGATACTGAGGAAAAAATGACAACTGATTTTTTAAAAAGATTTATTTATTTATTTGAAAGTCAGAGTTATACAGACAGAGGAGGAGAGACAGAGAGGGGCGGGGTCTTCCATCTGCTGGTTCACTCCCCAGTTGGCCGCAGTGGCCGGAGCTGTGCCAATCCGAAGCCAGGAGCCAGGAGCTTCTTCTGGGTCTCCCACACGGGTGCAGGGGCGCAAGGACTTGAGCCATCTTCTATTGCTTTCCCAGGCTATAGCAGAGAGCTGGATTGGAAGTGGAGCAGCCGGGATTTGAACTGGCACCCATATGGGATGGCGGCACTGCAGGTGGCAGCTTTACGTGCTACGTCACTGTGCCGGCCCCTGGCATATGCTTTATACCTGTCTTATGGGCCTTTTATATATATATATATATATATATATATATAAAAATATTTTCCCTTTCAAAAAGTATGCACTGGGGCCTGCACTGTGGCTTAGTAAGCTAAGTCTCTGCCTGCAGTGGCGGCATCCCATGTGGGCGCTGGTTCGAGTCCCAGCTGCTTGTCTTCCAATCAAACTCTCTGCTCATGGCCTGGGAAAGCAGTGGAAGATGGCCCAAGTGATTGGGCCCCTGCACTCACATGGGGGACCTGGAAGAAACTACTGACTCCTGGCTTCGGATTGGCCCAGATCCTGCTGTTAGGGCCATTTGGGGAGTGAACCAGTGGATGGAAAACCTTTCTCACTGTCCCTCTCTCTCTATGTAACGTTGCCTCTCAAATAAATATTTTTAAAAGAAATTATGCATTTATCTAGTCTGTATTTTAATGAAATTCACAGAGTAGTGAATCTACATGTTTTTGTGTTGTAACATGCAGTACTGTATTTCCCATAATAAAAATTGAGACATATCATCCAATAAGAAGTTATTGTACTGCTTCCCAAGAGTGTGATAACAGTTTGGACATAAAAATATTAGCCTTTCTAGGAGACTTCAGTGGTTTTATAGGATAGGAGGACAGAATAGTTGAGATTAGGGCTCTTCTGTTAAGCATACAATATGTGCTCATCTTAAATATTCTAACAGGTTTATGCAGTATACATCACAACAGAGCATAGAATAACTATTTTTATGGGCAATTTCTTACTACTGACTTACTCTTCTGGACCAAGACCCATTGGTATTATGGAATCTTCTCACTGTAAACAAGTTAGGGGTGAATGCGTCCCAAATGAACAACTCAAAACACACATTAAAATGAAAAATATACAGTGTGTCAGTACTTAGATTAATGGCTAGGTAAATATTTTTAGGTTAATCATTATGTAAACATCTTTGAATGAATGCAGATACAGAGAGTAGAATACAAGCCATTAATTTTTTTTGTCCTAACAGACTTCCATTGTAGTCAGACACTTTGACCATTGTAATAGTGAAGGTTTTCAGGTGGGAATGTGGAGACCACTTCTTCATAATTAGAACCTAGACTAACGTTAGCTAGTACTTGTATTTTCAAATGCTTAGAAAATTTTTATTATCAAATTCTTAAGCCCCTGCTAATAATCAGTGTGTGTGTGTGTGTATATATATATATATATATATAAATTGTTGTGAATGAAACACAGAAGACATTTTTGGTAAAGGTTCTAAAATTTCAGATCCTGTCAAAAGATATTAATGAAGTATATAAAATGTATTCTGTTTAAAACTAGGATCAGAAAGATTCTAGAATCCATGTAGACACTTCAATAGATAATAGCATTTGTGGGACTATCCATTCATTATTTCATCACAGTGCATAAAGAATCCTTGTTGGCTAAAAGATCTGCTGAGGCCGGCTCAATAGGCTAATCCTCTGCCTACGGCGCCGGCACACAGGGCACCGGATTCTGTCCTGGTTGCTCCTTTTCCATTCCAGCTCTCTGCTATGGCCCAGGAGTGCAGTGGAGGATGGCCCAAGTGCTTGGGCCCTGCACCTGCATGGGAGACCAGAATAAGTACCTGGCTCCTGCCATCGGATCAGCGCAACCTTCCGGTTGGTTCACCTCCCAAATGGCCGCTACGGCCGGCACGTTGCACCAATCCAAAGCCAGGAGCCAGGTGCTTCCTCGGTCACTGTCAAGGATGCAGGGGCCAAAGCAATTGGAACATCCATAAATGAAGCCCGGCTCCGGGGAAAGGATTGCGGGGGTACTTAAATAGGGTGGGGGAGGTAGGCCAGCCTCCTTAAAGATTCACCTTCACTTTCCCCCTTATTTTAAAAATTGAAAAAAAAAATAAATAAAAAACTTTTATAG